AAAATATTGTTTAAACAATTTATTAATTTTGAACCAAATAGTGCACTAGAATTTTTTAAGACCTTCCATATAAAAAAAGAATCATCTCAATATCTGCCATAGTTTTTGCGTTATTTGATATAAACTTTTACATTGGAATTTACCTATGCCCAGAATCGCGAGGATCGGCCTTAACGATCCCTTTCTAGTTCTTGATTTAATAAATTTCTGGTAACATATCCGGAAAATACTTAATTTGGTTTTAAAAATAATTAGGATTATTATGCCAAGACGTTTTGACAAGTTATCTTGATTTAGCTCCCACACTAACCACTTATAAATCATATAATATATCCGTTCTGAAATGTTGGTCATCTAAATAATAATTGAAATAATCACGAATCATATCTTCAAAGAATTTAGCAATAAACATAAAAATATTTTTGTTATTTTGTTTTTAAAATAACACCAGAACGAAAATAAATACCCCGCTATATATTGTCTGTGCGCTAAAGCAACCTAAACATTTTCGTCAGAGTAATGAACCCATGAATTACGCTGATTTCTAATACCTACAACGTCTATTTAGATTGGTGCTAATTTTTAAATTAACTTCTGAATTTTCGGACGGTCTGACCGAAATATCTTGTTTATAGTAGTTCATAAACATGTTAATATCGATTATGTTACTCTATTTGCTACCTAATTATTTTTCGTATTGCTTTATTGAGAACATCAAGTATAATGTAAGTAAAATCATCAATAAGGGACTATTTATAAACTCAATCACTTGTGTTAAATACAATTTTACGAAATAATTGTAAACAATACATACATATTATATATATATATATATTATATATATATATATATATATATATATATATATATATAATGTTCGGAAAGATTTCCGCGGTTAGTACAATGTAACTTAGAGCTAAGATTAATATTATTACTAAAATTAATATCAAACTCACACAGTCTTCCGGGTTGAAACGCGTCGATATCCATTTTGCCGAGCTTTCGGCATCCTCTCTGATGCCTTCTTCAGGGCTTCCGAGGTCTCAGTCTCCCGAGCCCTCAGACACTACTACACTGTTCCCTGTACGCTGTCACTAGGGAAGATAACACCTTAACCACAAGCTGGTATAGGAAACCTATGGCCTCTAATAGGTTCCTTAATTACCATTCCTGCCATCCTTTTAAATATAAATTAAACATAATTAAAGCTTTAAGCTGCAGGCTGAATAGATTGACACATCCGGTTAATCGAAGGAATCCCTTCAATCACTTAGAAAATATTCTCATTGAGAATTCTTATCCTTCTTCTCTCATTAACAAATACCTTTTTGTACAAAGCTATGGTTCTTCTTTAAATGACATACCCAATGGTGACCAACTTAGAATAATATCAAATAATTCTTTAAATGACACTGTTCTACCTGGTGGCTGGTACTGCACTTGGGACTCCTACCACCCACTACTCATCTTTACCTTACTTTCCTCACGTTACTGACAAACGTATTAAACTGTATAAACAGAAGAACATTTCTGTTAAAATTGCGGTTAAGAATGCCAAGACTGTCAGAAATGTGTTTTCAAAAACCAAACACCTTGTCCCCTCTGGAACAAGTTAATGTCATTTATCATTTATCTTGTGCTGATTGTGACTCGTGCTACATCGGTCAGACTGGGAGATCACTGAGAGGGCGTCTTACGACACACCGCAGTGATATCAACTTATCTAAGCATACTTGTGCCCTTGCACAGCATGCTATTAACACTAAACACAGAGTAGATTTTAATGAAGTTAAGATTCTTGCTAGAGCAGTGGAGAAATGGGGCCTCAATATGAATATGGCAAAGACAGAGTATCTTAAAATAGGAGATGGTGAAGAAGATCCAGAGTTAGAAATTAGAAACACAAAAACATGCAATGAATATTAAATATCTCGGATCTATAATATCTAAAGAAGGCACTACCAAAAGAGACATCGAAAACAGAACACAGCAGGAAAAAAAGTGGTAAACATTCTAAACTCTCTACTTTGGTCTAAAGATATTAAACAAGAAACGAAATTGACAATCTATCGAACCTTGGTAGAGCCTATTATGACTTATGGGCAGAGGTTTGGCAGATAACGCAGAAGGATAGAAAAAGAATAGAAGTAGTAGAAATGGATTTTCTAAGGAGAGCGTGTGGTATATCCAAAAAAGATCACATCAGGAATGAAGATATTAGAAGGAGGACAAATACTGTATATTCCAGTGTAGATAGAATTGAAACGAGACAACTAGTGTGGTATGGTCACGTGAAAACGTATGAATGAAGATAGATGGCCAAAGAAAGCTTTAAATTACATACCACAACAAAGAAGAAGAAGGGGAAGGCCTTCAGTTGCCTGGGAAGAAAATGTACGGCACATAATGAGAGATAGAGCCATCAGAGAAGACGAATGGATGGACAAAAAACGATGGCGGTCGAAATGCGAGAAAACGGATATATATATAATATATATATATATATTATATATATATATATATATATATATATATTATATATATATATATATATATATATATATATATATATATATATAAGATTCTTGGCTCTGACGTAATCTCGTTAAAAGACAGTTTTTAGAAATGTGTCATATACTTAAACACCCTAATACTCTTAATAAGAGAACTGACATTAGTAACTTGAGCCAAATTTATCATGCTCTAATATTGCAGAATTAGGCTTACTATGTTATTTACTCTCAAAATTGGCACCTGAGGAGTTTTCTTTACATAATTTCTTTTTAAATAATTTTCAAATATAAATTAAAATAAATTAAATAATAAACTCTTACTTTAAATTATCCTAGATTTATGCAACCCATATTTCATGACTTAATGTCAACGTTGCTTTTGTACAATTGTATTAATTGTTTCCATACAAATAGTTTAATACAACTTTACTATTATAAATTGATTCATAGAATCTTATTAAATTCAGTTCCAAATGTGTTGAACTTTGGACTGTTGGAAGTTTGATCATCCTTCCCCTGTGGCTGGCTAACAACTATTGTACTGATGAAGCTGCTAGTAGATTTGTCTCTGAATCATACTCACAATTAGTTCTTCAAGATATGTTGGTCTCTTATTTCTTATACTTTTTATACTCTATATACATATTCAATAATTTCTTCAGTTACTTCTTCTTTTTCTTCTTAGTATATTGTAAGTGTATCTCGCAGGTTACCAAAGGCGACTCTTTACAGCTCTATTTTCAGGTTAAGTTCACTTGTTTTATTCTAGGCACACAGCATCGAGCAAAAAGATAAAAGAGGGAATGTAAAGGTAGTGGGGACAACAATATTGTTAGACAGGAAGTGCCATCTTGAGAGGCCACTTTAAACAAGGAAAGACAGTCTCTTTCCTTGTTTAAGAAGTCAAATTTAGTTTGGTTATGTTATTGTTTGTCCCCAACTGTCACATGAAATTTTATTTATATTGAAGTTTTTTACCAATTATGTCACTTTTTAGACTATTATCGTTAATATTTAATTAAAGCTTTCTTGTCTGAAAAATATTTTACAGGTATTGTTAACAAGTGTTGGAAAATTTAAATTTAGCGCCTTTGCATTTCCGGATATGTCCGCCATCAGAGGCCACTTTTTTGGTCTCCTTTTCATAACGATTAGATTCCCTCTTTTATCTTTTTGCTCGATGGCACACAGGCAGTTCAACTGGCCGTCAGTTAAAAAAGTGTTACCAATTTACATTTTTATGCCTCTAATAAAAACAACCTTTAATATAGTCTATTAGTTTTATAATGCAATTTGGTCTCAGAATGGCTTTGAGCTGATTTCCATGTAGGTATATATATATATATATATATATATATATATATATATATATATATATATATATATATTATATATATATATATATATTGCCGAATCAAGAAGATCATCTTCTTGATTCGGCAATAATTACTACATCATCTGCGTAACACACCGTACCAATTCTTTTGTTGCCCATTCTGTATCCGAAATTGAGAGAAGTTACTTTGTTTTTAATTTTGCACATGAGTAGTTTTAAACAAGAAAGAGCTTGAAATCGTAGGCTTCCACGGCCAGAGTCAGAATTATAGTTTATTCGTCTTCCGGGTTTTGGACCGTGTCATTTGTGAGTGACCCAAAAGTGGGTTCATCTCGACGTTTCGCTACAATTGTATGTAGCTTCTTCAGGAGAAAAAAGAAAAAGAAAACAAAAGACAGGAAGATGGGTAGTTAGCAACGGTAACTCAGTTACTCAACGCAACCAGAGGCGAATACTAACTACCAAGATGGGCATTTGGTCACAGTAACTCAACTACCCAACGCAGCCAGAGGTGAAAACCAAATGCCAGGACAGGGATTCATGTCCAACAGCTCAGAACACTAACGCGTCGAGAGGCGGGGAGTGAATCCCGAGGAGTGAAGCGGGATTCGTTTGTCCTCTGATTCTGCATTTGACTTCCAGGTGTAGAGTCTTCTCGGTGGTAGTTTAAAATGGGTATTCGATATAATGAAATCGTGGTTCTTGACAGAACTGGACAAGTCGATTTCCACGTTCGTTTCTGTTTCCCAAGCCATATTCCCCCCACTTGTTCAAACAGCGTCCTTTGCCGGCTTTAGCGTTAAAATCTCCGAGGACTATGGTATTTTCTGCTGCTTTGACAAGATCTAGAGCATCAGTAAGATCTTTGTAGAATGCTTCTAATTTATCTTCATCACTAGATGATGTTGGGGCATAGACCTGAATTACGTTGGTAATGAACGGCTTTGAACTAAATTTTACTAGCATTACTCTGTCAGATATGGGAATATAAGTTAAAACTGATTGAGCTAAGTGTTTTGCTACTACGATTGCAACTCCATTATAGTGATTGGCATCTGTATTTCCGGCATGGTATCTGTATTCGATGCTTTGTTAATAATAAAATTGTTTTCTTAAATAATGAAATTTCTAACATAAATTGGTTGTTCCAGAATAGAAATGTACGTCGAAGACAAAGTATCGCACAGAGGCCCATTTCCCGTAGATGTAAGTCCAGATCAGACGTTGGCACAACTGAAAATTCAAGTAGAACGAGAGTTTGAAATACCGATGGCATTCCAGAGGTGGATACTAGGCAAAGAATTAGTTACTGACGACAACGCTCGACTGAAAGACTATGGCATTGTTAAAGAAGGCTGTCCCGTATTTTTATATTTAGTAGCACCAGGTAAGAAGATTTGTATACATACACCAAGTTTCCATATTTGAAACAAATTGTTAATAACAGAGTATATAATTTAATTAAATATATTAAAAAGGTTATTATTCGAAAATACTTCAGCGATTTGTACAGTATGTCAATTTTAAAACTTACAATTGGCTATATCTCACGAACAAAAGCTGATATAGAAAAATGCTTGAAACCGTTTCTAGGATAGTAAGGGGGAACTAAAATGATATGAAAGAGAACTCACCCCCGTCAACACCCTAGGCCCCACCCACCACAACCAAAAAAAGTTTAAATTGCAAACCCCTACTTGTGATACATCATTGAAAAACTGCTATCCAATGGTATAAATAACAATTATACAGGGTAAAAAAAATAATTATGAAACTTTGGCAAAATTAAATAGGTTTTTGTTGAACTACAAATTTGTTAAAAATGTCAATTAAGTAAATGTTCAACGTAGGTTCCGTTGTTTTGTAAACAATAACACAGCCTATTTTCAAATTCTTCACGAACTTTGGCAAATGTTGTTCTAGTAATAGCGCGACATGCTTGCGCAATTCTTTCTCGTAATTCTCCAAGTGACGCAGGTTGAGTTTTATAAACAACTGACTTGGACAATAGAACCTCTCCTTCCAATATTTGTTCTGATAATTAGTATCCAACCAGTGCCCAAGTGGAGCTGCACAGTGAGGAGGTGCTCCATCTTGTTGGAAGTGCAGCAAATCTTCGTTTAGAGCTAGGTTGGCTTGATCGTTCCTTTGGTTCTCTAATTCACGCACAATTAAAAGTTCAGTTCAAGGACCTCAATTTGAGATGCTTCATTCAGTAATCTTGGGGCATCATCATCATCAGTAGCTCGACAACCCTTTCTCGGTCCTGGCTTGTTCTAGGATTTTCCGCCATTCTGTTCTGTTCCTTGCTTTGTTTTTCCAGTTGGTATTCTTAAGTGTTTTCAGATCTTGTTCCACTTGTTCCATGTATCTAAGTTTGAGTCTTCCCTTTGACCTTCTCCCTACTGGTGTTTGCCTCATTATATGTTTTGGTGTTTCAGTCTCCAACATCCGTTCAACATGTCCCATCCAGCGCAGACGTCCGATCTTTATGGATGTTATGACGTCGGGTTCATTGTATGCTATGTATAGTTCAAAGTTATATCTTCTGCGCCAATGACAATCATTTTCTTTCACCTTCTTATATATGTGTCTAAGGATTTTTCGTTTAAACGTACCTAATAGTTTCTCATGGCTTTTCGACAGTGTCTATGTCTCTGATCCATATACAAGCACCGGTTTTATCAGGGTTTGTGTATCGCATTCAATAGGGAGTCTCCGCTTTTCTTTATTAATTCTGCGCTAATGTTGTCTAATCTAGGTGACTTGTTTTTCAGTCTGGTAACTGCTTCTTGTATTTCAGCTACTGAAGGGGGGTTGTTTTCTCTGGTATCCGTTTGATCCAGTATAATTCCATCATATAGTGGGTCTTCGTTTTTTTTTAACTTTTCTTTGAAGAATTCTGTCCATCTTTGTAGTATTTTACTCTGTTGAGTTACTATATCTCCTTCTTTGTCTCTGCACATCATTGTTTTTGGTTTAAATTTTTTTCTACTTTTGTTAAGTTTTTGGTAGAATTTTCTGGTTTCTGATGGTTTATTTGGATAATAATGGATATGATGCAGTTAATGACAGAATTATACATCTGAAACTAAAGTGCTCAAAATCCATTCTCCACATCATACAAATATATGCCCCGACATCCACGGCAGAACAAGCAACACTAGAAGACTTTTATATGGCTCTCGAAGGTGTACTTGATAAAATACCAAACAAAGACATAGTGGTGATACTAGTCGACTTTAATGCCAAACTTGGAAGAACGAATCTAGATGACCACATGAAGATGATTGTAGGGCCATATGGTCTAGGAGATAGGAATGAGCGAGGAGACCGACTACTAGAATTCTGCAACCAAAGGAAATTCTCTGTAATGAACACGCATTTCAAACATCATCCGCGTAGACTCTGTACCTGGAAATCACCTGGAGATAGAACAAGAAATCAAATAGACTTTATTCTGATCAGTTCGAGATGGAAGTCTTCAATTACCAACGCAAAAACATTTCCAGGAGCAGAATGCGGAAGCGATCACCAGCTCTTGATGGCAGATTACAGAATGCGTTTCAAGAACATACGCAAAGCTTCTCCCCGTTCTTTTGGGCTAACGGACCCCGAATTAGCTACCTTTAAAGAGAGAATTGAACCAGCACTAACCAGAATAGGGAACAATCAGTCAGAACAAAGCGTGGATGAAGCCTGGACAGATATTAAAGAAACCATCGTAACAACAGTGAACCAATGTCGCCAACCATCTATAAATAATAGCATTAAACCATGGATCAGCAGAAACACGTGGAAAGTGATTGAACAAAGAAAGCAACTTAAAGTTGGCCCCTGTGATCAACAGACATATAAAGCTCTCTCCAGAGATATTCAACGAAGATGCCGAAAAGACAAACACGAATACATCTCTGAAATCTGCCAAGAAATAGAAAATCACGGATATCGAAATGAAACCAAAGACCTCTTCCGGAAAGTGAAAATTCTTATTGTGTGATATCGACAGAGTGTTGGAAACATGGAAAAACTATTGTTCAGAGCTCTACAGGGAAGAACACGTAAATCTAGGCCACACTTCAGCCCTCGAAAACACTGAATACAACCCTGAACCTGAAATTCTGCTATCCGAGATTGAAGAAGCTGTAACTCACCTCAAGAAGAATAAATCCCCTGGCTGCGATGATATCACGGGAGAGCTCCTTCAGAACATGGGAGACAAAGGATGTTACATAATGTGGAAACTTTGTAATAAAATTTGGAGATGCGGAAAGTGGCCCAGAGAATGGCGCACATCATTGTGCATACCAATCCATAAAAAAGGAACAACTACAAAGTGTAGTAATTATCGTACCATCTCACTGATTTCCCATCCAAGCAAAATATTACTAAGAATCATTAAACGCCGTTTGCAACAGTACTTAGACAACCAAATTCCCCAAGAACAAGCAGGCTTTGTCAAAGGGAAGGGTACGAGAGAGCAAATCCTTAATATGCGGCAGCTCATAGAAAAGGCCCGCGAATTTAAAATTCCAATAATAATCTGTTTTCTAGACTACCAAAAGGCATTTGATTGTGTAAAGTGGGAAGTTCTCTGGACAGTTCTTCATGAGATGGGAGTTCCAGATCATTTGGCAATATTAATTAAAAACTTATACGAAGATAACTCAGTTAAAATAAGAATTGAAAACCAGCAATCTGATACCTTCAAAACCAGCAGAGGTGTACGACAAGGCTGCATACTATCTCCAGACCTGTTCAATTTATATGGAGAATACATAATGAGGAACGCACTCGATGGATGGAGAGGCGGCATCTCCATTGCAGGGAAAAAGATCTCAAACTTAAGATTCGCAGACGATACAACACTGATAGCAACATCTGAAGAGGAGATGTCGAGACTGATAAAGAGAGTAGAAACCGAAAGCAACAAGTGTGGGCTCAAGATTAATAATCAGAAAACAAAAATCATGATTGTGGACCACGCGAATATCCTCCAAACAACAGGCGCCCTAAATCAATTCGAGAAAGTAGACGAGTTCACGTATCTAGGATCTTCCTTAAGCAATGCAGCCTCCTGCCATACGGAAATTCGCAGAAGAATAGGAATGGCCAAGAACGCGATGAGTCGACTGTCAAAAATATGGAAGGACCGCTCTTTGTCCAAAAAACTCAAAATGAGACTGGTACGGACACTCGTTTTTTCAATCTTTAGTTACGGTGCCGAAACATGGACAATAAAATCAGAGGATAGGAAAAGGATTGACGCATTCGAAATGTGGTGCTGGAGACGAATGCTACGCGTCTCGTGGACGGAGCACAGATCCAATCAGTCGATTCCCGAAGAGCTAAACATTCAGACCAGACTCTCCTCTCAGTGTCTTGCAAATGTTTTAAAGTTTTTTGGCCACATTGCGAGAAGAGACAATGACAACTTAGAAAGACTAATTGTGTGCGGAAACGTAGAAGGACGTAGAGGCCGAGGACGCTCACCTATCCGATGGTCAGATCAAGTACAGAAAGCCACTGGAGAGACGTTTTCCGAGTCCATGAGAGCAGCCCAAAATCGCAAGAGATGGAGAGAATTGACAGCCCGCATTGTAGGGAATCACGATCCTCAGCAATGAGGAAACGACAAGAGAGAGAGAGAGATGGTTTATTTAGTTTCTTCCATTTTTTTGGAGTTCTTTTCTATGTGTTCTCCTTTCTTTCTGCGATGTATTTTCTTCTCTTCCCTCCTTAGCATTCTATATTCCTCCTCTGCCTTTCGTGTTCTATGTCGTTGTTGCAGTCGTTGATATGCATCATTTTTCCTCTTTGTTATGTTACGACACTCTTCATCGAATCACTGTCGTTCAGTTGATTTGAGCTTTTTTTGTAGACCCAGGGTCTCTTTGACAGCGTCTTGTATGATGTTTTTACACGCTTCCTATCTTCTCTATATATCCTCGTGCTTTTGTCTGTTTTTTAGCCTTCCTTTTATATACTCTTTGTATTTTGCCTTTTTGCTGTCATCTACTAAGTTTTTTATTTCATATTTTTCAGTTTTGGTTCCTTTTTCTTTTTTAATGTTTGAGATTCTGGCTCTTATTCTTCTTTCCACTAGGTAGTGATCCGAGTCTGCCTTTGCCCCTCGTCTGCTGCATACGTTTATTACGTCTCAGTGATGTCTACAGTCAATAATAACATGATCGATCATGTTTATTGTAACCCCATCTGGAGATCCTCATGTTCCCTTATGAATATTTTTTCGCTGAAACCATGTGCTGGCAATGACCATGTTAAGGGAAGTTGCTAGATTCATTAGTCTGATACCATTGTCATTGGATACCTCATAAAAGCTGTGCTTACCTATAGTTGGTAGGTATTGCTGCTCTTTTCCTATTT